TTCCGAAGGACCATTTTGTTCTCTGTGGAGAAGAGCAAGACTCCTTTCAAAGGGAGATTGGGTGTTGGAGTCTGGCTTAGGTTTTCCAGGACTTTCATCTTGGAACCAAAGCAGAGACTTGGGGGATGAATGTCCTGCATGTAAAGTTCTCTGGTGTGAATGTCATACCTACCATTGCCATTGTTTTGTTTTACCTTTTTCCATGTAGGAAATTATATATATATTTTATCATCTGCCCCTTGTCCCTGCCCCTCTGCCACCGTTTTTGCCAACATCTATTTTTTAGCATCCTTCTCCGAGTTACCACTGTTGGGATTCCTGCCAGGTGGGAGCTTAGGGGGCAGAAAGCGGCTGTACCCTCTCTTACGTTTCATGTCTGGGGCCACCTACCATGCCCAAAGGCAGAGGTGGTGAATCAGCCAGTGACTTCCTTGAGCCTTTACTATCTAATTTAAGGTTTGGAAGGAACGGTAATGTCTGCTCAAACAATCCTTATGTGACACAGTTTTTCGGCATGTTGCCTGTACCACTTGTAATAGTCTATAGTTGTTAAATATATTAAGTTGATTGGTCTATTTTTAAATCCTGTTCCCTATAAAGAAGAGAGAAAGCATAAACAAAGATCCCATTCCTGTGCTCCCCATAGTTATGAGGCAGAAATACCTCTTCTCAAAGTGATAACTATGCTTTCTTTGCACCACTTTTAAAAGCCAGATAGTTTCTGAAATGGGTTATACTTCTGAAAGTTATGCTTTGAATGTAGTTTGTGGTGGGAGAAGTACCTTTGGAAAGAGTCACGTAAAGTGTTGACATACCTGCATGTTTATTTGTATGATGACTTTTGTGAAAGAGACAGTAATTAAAACTGCTTAATGGCTTATGCTGTTTGCTAGACAGAAGTTTCTTTAAGTGGATATCACATTCATACCGAAAAGTTCTTGCCTCCTCTTTCTCTTGATTGCATTTTATAAAGCATAAGTGTCATCTTACGTATGACAAACCAAGATATCACCTGTATTGTCTCTACATATATTTGAGGTAAGTAATTGTAATCGTTAAGGTGGCATTGATAACACCTTCATTGATAGCACCAGTTTTAGACTGTGGTGGCATTGACAGCATCTCAGTGAGTGTCTGGGCTCCCCTGTTTTAAGTACAGCATTACATAGATTTATAGAGCAAAGGCAAGAAGGGGTGATGAATCATATAGATTGACTTCCTGTATGTCATGAGCTCTTACGCTTGTTTAACTTTGTTTTTTAGTCTAGTAGCTAGAATATGAAACATATAAAAATAAACTAGCTAAAGCAGATATTCAACAAAATCATCCAGTTTTGAGGCTGCACTGGCAAGAGATAGTTTCCACTGCTTGCTGGATTGTCATCTTCATTGGAGTGCACAAGGGTTGTTCTGCATGCAGGGTTAGTAAAAGAACAGCCCCCACTCTGAAGAACCTATGGCTTATGTAGGTAAAAGACATGAAATGGGGTAAAAAGAAAGGTCCTGTCTTACAGATGGCAAAATGGACTCAGAGGGAAATTCTGACTAGCCCAAAAGGTCACACGGGACCATCTAAAAGAGGCTGAAAATGAACTTGTGTCCTTTGTGACAAATACTGTGCTTTAACTGGAGAATGGTCCTTACTCTCTTGCACAAAAGGCAAGCTGGAAATAAGAGGGTGGGTTAGGCTTCTCCTGACTACCAGGAAGGAACTACTGGATGGTAGACAGTGGTTTACAGGTCTAAGAGCTTCTGATGCTAACTATTTATATTTGTCATTTGAGAGGCTGAAATTTATAAGAATCACATTTGTTATGCAGTACAAGGGAGAAATGATGCTTAAAAGGCTGAATTAGTGCAATAGAAAAATTCAAACCTGTACTGTTCCTAAAAGCATTCTGGTCATGGTGGTGAAATCTGAGGTAATTTGTATGTGCAGGAATATCTCCAAAATCTGTTACGCATCAGTCTTGCTCAGTACACTGTTGCTTTTTTGCATGATAGGACACTATAGAATAAGTTCTACTGGAGCACAGGAGCAGCAGGTCAGCGCACCTGCTGCCCAGGGGCAAAAGCAAGGCTGTTGTGGTAGCTTAGCTCTTGCTTATGGAGGGAAACCTGAAATTACCAACGAGTTTACTGCAACCTTAACCTGTGTAATTTTTAAGTTATAGCCAGGACTCAGTACTGATGTTTTAGACCTGCTTCTTTCAGATTTCACAGAGCAGAGTTTCAGTGCAAAGCTGGACTTGGCCTATCAATGACAGAATGTAAAACAACCACTTAAATATTGTTTCTCTTCAGCATTTTATAAGCAGGGTAGATGGATTGGAAATGTGTACCCTTCAACAACAGCATCAGCTCAGCTCTATTGGCTTCACAGTGCACTGTGGTCAGCGGTCATTTGGAGAGAATGTTTTATTTCTGCTTGGGAACTATTGATATAGGTGAGAGACATGATGAATGAAGCACCTGGCCAGCACTGGAGGGAGAAGTGCTGCAGTTGCAGAGCAGGCAGAGGAGCACGGGGAGCAGCCCCCGCTTTTGCACGTCTCTGTGGTCTTCAGTCTTGGTGGAACACTGGTGACGCTGGTGTTCAGTCTGTGCATCCACTGAGGTGTTTGACTTCTGAGTGGGGGGCTGGTTGGTGTGCTTCTTGGTTTTAGTCACTTGCAAGTTTGAAGTTGGCTATTAGATGACTGTGGGAATTTTTATCCTACTCCAGACTTGGTCAAGTGACCTGAAGATGAAAGTATCTCAATATCTAATTCCAAACTATTACTGTTTCCAGTCGAGATGATCAATAGTAACAGATGTTTTGCCTTTTTTTTTTTTTTTTTTTAACACAGTGCTTTCTTAGCCCACTTTAGAGCTAGACATAGAGATTTTCCAGTGGAAAAAAAAGCTAGAAACAGCATGTCAGTATTATCTATATTATATTTATAGCTGTGGATTACAAACATTTTAACCATGTACAGGTGGCCTTTGGTAACTTGAAAGGAAGACGAGTACAGCTTTTTAATCCTTCCTCCCTGTCTCCTGCCTCTGTTTTCTAGATCATAGGATTTCATAGGCTGAGAAATACTTACTGATTTATTTGCATCCATGACGATTAAGCAAAATGAAAGCATTGCTATTATAATAGTAATTTCAGTTTGCATTATGTTAAAACATCTTTGTTGGTAGCAAGCATTGCAAGAACACAGATCTGGAGAGGATAGTGGGAAGTATGTGGGTGCATGTCTATGCATATAAGTTGTTTTAGGGAAAAGAAGCCAATTAATTTTACAAGAAGGCTAATTAAAAATTCTTTGTGCAGAGGCTCTTTATCTTTTCTCGCTGAAGTAATGTATCTTTTCTCTCTGAAGTAATAGACCAAAATTACATAATTGCCTTAATTTTGGCCTTAGAGGGAATTATCATTTAGAATGAAGGGGGGCTGTTCCTTTCCTCAGTTAAAACTTGGTTAAGTTTTATTCTTGGGAAAACACTTCAGTGAGAAGAAATATGAACCTTCATAAAGCCTGGTTTGTAATGCTAGTAATGTCCTTCATTAGAGTTGACCTGGTGTTTGATCGTTTGGCCAGATGGCACTGTGCAGGAAGTGTACTTTAAATTTTTAATGTACAAAAGGAATCTTTGATCTACTGTTACAGTGGGTCATCAAAACCACAAGACATCAAAAACACAAGGTATAGCCAGCCACCCAGTATTTCTGTAAACAATTGAAATAAGTTGGACTTCAAGGCACAGAATTCCTCAGGGGAAATGGCCAAGAATAATATATTGGAGAAGTTTGTATTGGAGATACTCTGGGTTATGGTGGAAGAGTCCTGACTAAATGGTAATGGTAAATATTTCTTTTTATTCTTTTCATGTTTATGACAGCAGGTTTTAAATAATGCTCAGATTGTAGGTGCTTGAATGGAGTATTATGCTTCTTTAATTGTATATATGTGAACAGTACGGTTGACAGCAAATTAACATTGTCTGTCCTTAAATACTTGCCAATATGCTGGAAAAAGTACATTGTAGATTCTTTTGATTTGCCTTATGATTTAAGGAGCCTCTTGGGCCTGCTTGCATCACACTTCATAACTTTTTCCTGTAGCCTGAGAGTTAAAATAATTTCTTTTCTTCCCAAGTAAAAGTTGTCTTTCATGGGTGACAGCAGAAGCTGAGACCTCAGATATAACCCCCCACCCTGTGATTTAAAAAAAAGTCTTATGCGTTGGAATGTATTAAAATTGAAAACATAAACGTACATGACTGGAGTTTCTAAACTCACTGTTCTGCTCATTTAGTTCGTTTGAACTAGCAGTAGGTATTTTGGTAGCTCAAGCAGCAAGTTCCAGTCTTCAGGGCTTGGCGGAGTCATACTTCACGGTAACAAAGAATTGAACTTCTGCGCTTTAGTGTGCCATTAAGCTGCAGTCTCACGTTTCAGTGAGAAATTGATTTACTGATTTGATTTTCTGAGACATATGGTGATAATAATAATAACACTGTATAAGCATTATTTAAAAATACAATAATAGACTGGTATTGGATCTTTGGCAGGCCAGCACCGAAGTGCACACACAAACTACCATCATTTATTTAAGTTTAGTCTCATCCAATTTTAAACAAATGGAAATCAATACTGCTTGCAGAGATCAGTGGCTAGATAGGAGAAAGAAGTGAAGTGGCATTGTTGCTAAGAACATGTTACACAAGAAAACGCAAATACATGAATTTTACCTACATTCCTCTTTTGTCTTTCTTTTCAGAATCTTTCAGTACCATGTACAAAGATAGGCTTTTTATTGTTATGACTGTGGTGTGTGTCCCCTGTGTAAAATGCATCCCTCTGTAAAACGCATGTGTTGTTTGCAATTTTAATGTAGAAATAGAAAATAAATGCTTATGAAATCCACTGCCTTTTTTGACGCTGGCTGATGCATGGATTAACACGGACTTTAAGCCTGTCATAGTCAATGAATGCTGTTTTTTCCTTTCAGATATGTGTCACAAAGATGTCTACACGGAACTGCCAGGGAATGGATTCAGTGATCAAACCTCTGGATACAATTCCTGAGGATAAGAAAGTCCGGGTTCAGAGGACGCAGAGTAGTTTTGATCCATTTGAGAAACCAACTAATCAAGTGAAGAGGGTTCATTCGGAGAACAACGCTTGCATTAACTTCAAAACTTCAACTGCAGGGAAGGAATCACCTAAAGTCCGGCGGCATTCCAGCCCCAGCTCTGTAAGTGCACAGTCCTGACACCTGTGTGCAGACCAAGTGGTGGAATTAATAAGACCAGATAAATATTTTCTTGCTTAAGAAGGAATCGATTACTTGGAAACAGAACAAAAAGGTCATGGCTGCTATTAAAGATGTTTCTCATACATATATTTGTAGTGTTATATATAAAATCGAATAAGAAAATAGAACATGAAAAAGAATATATTATGAAATTCCTCTCAGATATTAGCTAGGGTGTCTTAAGGGATTTCTAAGCATTTTCCTCTCTTGATCCTGGTATGGTATTACAGCTGCTGTAACATTTATGTTGCACATTTTGCAGATGGTTGCTTATTTATGAAGAGGAATTCTTTCCCATTAAGTATAAGAAACCACATGAATTGCCTTTTTGATTTCTAGATTTAGGTTTTAGAGAAACAGATCAGATTTGACAGATTTTGTTTACATTTTAAAATTCTATTTTTAAAATGAAGTAGTAAAAATAACATTTATTTCCATGTCAGAAACTCTGTGTGTGTGTGAGAGAGAGAGGAGAGAGAGAAACAACTGAGAAGAATTTGGCAACACATTGTCATTGTTGTTTTATTCTCAAGTGTTTTGAAAGAAACTAGATAAATAAAATGTCACATCTTTCATGAATAATGCCCAGAACAGATTTCCCCCAAAAGACCTTCAAAATTATTGAAAAACTATTTCTGTTATGCTTTGGCAAGAAAAATCCATAATAATATGACCTTTGAGTTGAAGGCTACAGATCTAAGCAGAATGGAACACTTCAAATCTTAGTTGACGTGAAATAATTTAAAAGGTTGATTGCCTTTTCTTTTTCTTTTCTTTCTTTTCTCTATCTTCTGGACATCTTCTGTCCTCCCTACAGAAGTTTGACTGAATCCCGTCGGACTTCTAAGAAGAAATGATAGAGATTCATTTTCTGCAGATGAACTTTGTTTAACCCATGTGAATTTAACAGATAAGATGTCATGCCTCCAGGGGACTGTGCTTTTTAGAAAAGGTTACATTTTAAAATGTAACCATCTATAGCAAAACCAAATTTGCTTTTTCATCATAGCCTGGCATTAGGTAGCTGCTGCCAAAGATGTCTCGGGCGTGTTCCAGATGAGTCTGTAACAAGGAGTTCTTACCAAACTTACCAAACTTTTACAGTCATTAAGGATGGATGGAGCGGTTTGCACTGTGTTTATTTGTGCATGATGCCTGATTATCGTTTGGCACCACATCTGTAAATTCAAATGACTTCTTTTGAAAGTCTTCCCTTAAGTTTTTGCATTATTAACTCGCTCTCCATCTCTGCTGTTCTTATCTTGTTCCTCCTAGAAACTATTCCTAATTTCTGTTAAAGCTTTATGTACTTCTTTTCTATTAAAACTGAAGGTTTTTATTTGCTTTGCTTTCTGAATTTTGAAGCAGACTTTTTTTGAAACCATGTTATTGGCATCTTGTTCTTTTCCAGAAGCCTGGTATTCTACTACATCCATGCAGTCTCCTATGAGCCCAGGATTTTCTCCTGTAAATGATGTGAATGCTTCCTCTGCCAGTGTGCTGCTGGTTAGAGCCTTAGCTATACATACATTTTGCTAATGTTCTTCTATGCTGACTCACACAGACTTGCTGGGGACATCTCATGAGTTAAAGTAGCTACATAGGGATTTCCTGAAATACAATTCTGATTCCTTAACTTCCCATAATTCTCTCTGATTTTTGTAGCTCTGTTCAGTGAACTCACTTCTTCCTTCTGCTTGGAGGCATTGTTAGTCATTTTTTGACTCTTCCTTGTAAAGAGTGCTCTGAAGAGCACCTGGCAAGGAATAACTTGTGGAATAATGTCACCGTTCATGTCAATGGAGAAGGAAGAGCAGAACTTCACAGCAAAAGGTCGTGTTAGCCCTCTGATGATCGCAGGTCACAGCTGGGCCTGCCCGGCAGACCTAAATTCAGATGCCCAAGGCAGAGATACAATCAAACCATTCCCTTCCCCCAGAGCCGTTATATGTTGCCTCAGGCAGGAGGTGTTCTGATGCACATTTCATTGAGCATATGTCTGTGTGGTTAGTTGCAGGAATTTGTCATTCTCTGGTTTTGGATTACACTTCAATTGATGAAGGGTTTTGAGTTTCTTTTTCTTCTAGTCCTAATGTTGTGTAGCAGATGCCCTTGCTGCTTCCTCTTCTGATCATTACTTCTTTTTCTTCCATGTCAGAGGACTGCTACGTATTCTCCCATATTGGGCTATAACTTGATTCTCTGGAAGTTCTTCTGCTGTATACATTATACCAGTCTGAACGGACATTTCAGTTTTTGTAAATGTTCTTGAGCATGCTGTGCACTCTGGGTTGTACTGGCTACAGCTATGTGGTTGTGTTTCAGTTTTGGCTCTGCTTTCTATAAGCTGCTTCTTTTAAAAGATACTCTGTTAGATCGATGCTACCTTCAGTTTGCACTTTCTACACTTGATTACTAGAAGAACTGAATTAAAAATAGTCTACTGTTTAGTCTCTTCCCTTTCATCATTTAAAGTCCTCTGTAGCCATCAGGTGAGGAAGTGATGTCTTTCAAAAGGTACATGGCTGAGGCTTGCAGTCTTCATATCACTGCTTCTACTCAGGTGAACGTCCTTTCTTTGTCTCACAAACAACTTTTTTCAAGATGCGACCTAAAAGACCTTGTTTATAATGTCCTGGGGTGTTAGCTTCTGTTTTGATTCGTTTCAGAAGCTTTATCAGCTCTCTGGCAGGTATCGGCTTCAGTGTTTGGTGAAGATCACCATATAATACTCCGCAGGTGGCATGTTACCCATTTTGTGTTTTCTGTACCTTTGAAATGCTCTGCACTTTGTGATGAGAAAGATGTAACACGCACAGGTTTGTGGAAGCTGGAACTCCATGTCCCTGCCCACAGATTGTCACTTGGAAATAAATCATTTGCGCTTGAACGTGAAGTCATTTTCTGCAGTTAATGTCACACCTTACTGCAACCCAGTAGAAATCCTGTGTTGTTAATTAGTGCAGTAGCATACAGATAGAAGTTAGCATGGTATTTTTTTGTTCTTAAAAGACAGACTTAATTTTTACACTTAGAGTCTTTCCACCTGACATTTACATACTCATTATGTAAAACAGTCACGTTGCATGGCATTTTCTTCCCCCTTTCTTTTAAACATAAGAAAACATCTATGAGTGTGATTTCTGAACTGTTTAAGCTGATTGAAATTGGATGTTACTATGGAATGAAATTTCCAGCAGAACAGAACCTTTTATCACATCAGAATAATGGGTACTATTCACCTTGGAGGTAGTGAAGCAGGTGTTTGCCTACCTGTGCATCACCTGTCCACCACCATTAGAAGAAGGGTATTTGGCCAGACAGGCCTTTGCTCTGATCCAGCGCAACACAATATATATGTACATAATGTATATACATATACATAATGTTTGTGTATAATTCTATTGTGTTTGCGTGGCAAAATTTTGGTAACGAGGGGGCTGGAGGGGTGGCTTCTGTGAGAAGGTGCTAGAAGCTTCCCCTACGTCCAAGAGAGCCAGCCAGCTCCAAGACAGACCCACCGCTGGCCAAGGCCGAGCCCATCAGCAACAGTGGTAGCGCCTCTGGGAGAACGTATTTAAGAAGGGCGGCGGGGAAAGCTGTGCAACACCCTGGAGCCAGAGAGAGGGGTGAGAAGATGCGAGAGGAACAGCCCTGCAGGCCCCCAGCTCAGAGCAGCAGGAGGGGCAGGAGGGCTCCAGGCACCAGAGCAGAGGTTCCCCGGCAGCCCCTGGGGAAGCCCACGGGGAGGCCGGCTGTGCCCCTGCAGCCATGGAGCTCCACGGGGGAGCAGATCTCCACCCGCACCCGGGAAGGGCCCCACGCCAGAGCAGGGGGATGCCGGAAGGAGGCCGTGACCCCGTGGGCAGTCGATGCTGGAGCAGGCTCATGGCAGGGCCTGTGACCCTGTGGAGAGAGGAGCCTTGGGCCCCCGTGGGGGACCGAGGTTGGAGCAGCCTGTTCCTGAAGTACGGCACCCCATGGGGGGACCCAGGCTGGAGCAGTTTGTGAAGAACTGCAGCCCATGGGAAGGGCTCACGCTGGAGAAGTTCGTGGAGGACTGTCTCCTGTGGGAGGGTCCTCATACTGGAGCAGGGGAACGGTGTGAGTCCTCCCCGTGAGGAAGAAGGAGGGGCAGAGACAAGGTGTGACGAACTGACTGCAACCTCCATTCCCTGTCCCCCTGCGCCGCTCAGGGGGATGAGGGAGAGAATCTGGGAGTGAAGTTGAGCCTGGGAAGAAGGGAGGGGTGGGGGGAAGGTGTTTTAAAATTTGTTTTTTAATTTTCATTATCCGACTCTGATTTGATTGGTAATAAATTAAATTAATTTTCCCCAAGTTGAGACTGTTTCGCCCGTGAGGGTAACTGGTGAGTGATCTCTCCCTGCCCTTATCTCTACCCACGAGCCTTTTGTTGTCTTTTCTCTCCGCTGGCCAGCTGAGAAGGGCAGTGACACAGCGGCGTGTGTGGGCACCTGCTGTCCAGCCAGGCTCAACCCACCACAATAACGTATATGTACATAGGTGTGTACATACCTATTATCTATCTATCTAAAAATCTTTTGCTTAGTCTTTTGCTTACCAAGGGAAAAAACTTGCTTTTCTTTTCTCCCTAACTGAAGAAGGAGTAAAACTACAAAATTAACGGGACAAAATAAAAAAAAGCACAACTGAAAACCAAACACATGCCACTCTTCCCAACATAACACTAGCTTTGGAAGATGATTTGACTAATTCTCTGAAAGTTGTATTTGAGAGATCCATGCTCTTCAGGCATGTGGCCTTTTTTTTTTTTTTTCCTCCAGTGGAAGTTGAAGTTTTATTGTATTGATTGTACACGCTTTATACACTAAAACAGTACTTTTGCACAGTATGTAAACAGAGTATTGCAAGTTTTATAAGCTAGCCATCTGGTCAAGTTTCAGTTACATGGTGATATA